TTGAGCTAGCAATAATGTTAGCACAATTACATGGTGAGCTGGGTTAGAGACTGCCTGAAAACTCCTTTGGCTGATTTAGCTTCAAACAGAGCAGGCTCCTGATGGACCTTCCTATATGACCATACAAATGCTCAAATCAGCAGAGGGGAACAGACATGATCATGCATGTGGGAGGTGAGGACAGCCGGTTTTGTAACACTGAACATGTGATTTAGAGTGAGTTTCAGGTAGTATATTTTGGCTTTTTCAGGAGACAAGTGCCAGAGTTGGGAAATGGTAGCATTGAGGGCAGGACAAGTTCCCAACTCATGTGCCTGCAGAAGGAATAGCACTCAAGGATTTTCCTTCCTCTGGTTATGTACTTGTCCCAGGGAAAGGGAAGAGGGACAGGTTTGTGTCTTTCAGTGTTGGCCAGTGTTGTTTAGCATACCATTAGTAGGATCTAGAAGTTCCGTGCACTGGATGCATCAGTTTAAGCTGAGATTTCCAATGGTGCCAGTGAAACTTAGGCTGTTGGTTCTTGTTTACTTTCACTGGAAAGGAGATTTACCTCCAAAGCTCAGGATGGCAAATCTCCCTTCTGAAATGACCCTCTTACATATGTGCAAGTGTTGCTGGCATTGGGCCCAAGTGATTTGATGCAGTGTCAGTGGAAAGACACTCTACAACATGACTGGCCTTCTATGGAAGAACAAAAAAACCAAAAAGGAATATTCTTATTAAATATGGACTTGCTAAAATTGATTTGTAGAACCGGGCTGAAGGAATGGTCAGGGCAGGTCTTGGAGTTGTTGGAACTCTCCCTAAGACTGACCCTACCATGCAGCTTTTAGTGGTGCTGTATTCTGCAGGGGCCCCTGACACATTTACTGCTTTGATGGCATCCGCAGAATTGTACATGAAGTTTAAGCACATCTAAAAGCAGGATATTTCTCAGTGCAAGGGCTTGCAATGAGACGGTTAACTCAGTGATTGTATTTCTGCTTCTTCCAGTGCTTGTTCTGGGGAGTTTTGGTCTGCAAAGCTGGTTTAGGTTTTCTGTTTTGTTTTTGGCTTTTTTAAACTCTTATCAATGGGATTGTGCATGATAAAAGGTATAAATCAAACTCAAGGAGTCTGTGAGCCCTAACACTCTCGATGAATTATGGAAAATTTATTTTGCATTACATAATGTATAATTTTTATCCTTTTGTTGACTACACTGTGGCTAGCAGCATGATTTATCTTGAACCTAAACACTTTGCCAACACATATTTGATGAGAGATATTAGCCATTATCAAGACACATATTTTAGCTATGTAAGCAATGCCAAAGCAGCTGTGAATTCTTAACATATCTCAGTCTGAACAACTGGGAGAATTATGAAACTAGTTAACAGACTAAGAGAAAATACCATATTATCCTTATGGATAAACCACCTTATTAAACAGTGAGATGTATCCCTGGCAACTTTATTTTGGACAAAGACAATTAAGGTTGAGGTTAGAGACTTTGTAAAGCTTGAATACAGACTGGATTTCATTGGCCTTAAATCTTTAAGGGGCAGCTGCAAACATCTGACCTGAATTGCCTAAGCACTCCAAAGAAAGAAGTTTGTTTTGTACTTTTGTACCAAATTTTACAATTCATGTAACTCACACAATATTAGAAATTATTTTAACTCAGAGATTGTAGAAACAAACAAGTATTTTTTACTGGGTTTTTGCTATTTATTAGAAAGGGCTTGATGCTATTTTAGAAGTTTTACTACAAAATCTGAAAAAAAATGCATATACTTATAGACAGATATCCTGTCCCATGTTATACAAGACACTTCTCTGTTTTTCAAAATGAATTTGAGGAGACCTGTCTTTTCTGCTTGAAGCCAAACTTATCTAGGAGGGCTGCAATTTGTAGTCATATCTTGTAATATGTTTTAATGTTTTTTAGAACTTAATTGTCAAATTATGTGACAGTTCAAAGTTCCTGGAATGTAAAAATCTGGGGTCTCTAAATCCTTTCCAGTGCAGTAGCTTTAAAATAAAGAGACACTCATCAGTGAATTAGTCAGTGTTTTGAAAGTGTCACAATTGTGAGCACAACAAAAGTCTTCTGGAGTAAACCTGGTAATTCAGTGAGCCGGGCCTAAGAAAATACCTGTTTTAATGCATATTTTATTTCCTAAGGGGTATTTTTTGAGTGACAGCAGAGGACACTTGGGTATAATGTTAGCTGAAGAGTTCCAGCAGTGAAGGGTAGCATTAACTTGGAAGGGAAAACAGCAAGCTAGTTCCTTACTTGAGATAAAAATGTCTTTATTAATTATATTCTCTTTAATTTGAAGTATAATTCAAGTTGACTAGATTCTTCCCAAGTTAGTCAGCAGTTTCCTACAGAAGTTGCTGTGCTGGGTTCCCTGTTTAACCACACGTTGTTAGATCACGGCATATCATGAGGCCTGCTGGCTGGTCAGCTGCTGAAATTCCAGAGCTGCCACAAGGACTGCAGGACACTGAAAATATATAATAATTTCCTCATTAAGAATTTTAAAACTATTCCCTTATTTTTATTTTTTATTAAATGGTAGATTTAAATGGCTCATTTTACCTTTTGATTATTTAGAATACTTCCACAGTAGTACAATTGTATTTTTATTAGTTGGACTTGGTTTTATTTTCATGTTTGCTAGGACATTCTATTCTTTATTTTGCCATAAAGTCCTGCTTCTTTAGCTGCTTTAGTTCGTGTCACTCTTAACTGTGTGAAATGGATTCCCAGACATCCAGCAGGAAGTGTTTGTAGGTCAATGACTAATTTTCCCAAGCCCATTTTGCAGACTCTGGTGATTTATACCAACTCTATTTATAGAGAAAAGATGACTTTTTTAACCTATGAACTTGCTATCTTCCTGTTGGCATTTCTTCTATCAACTGATGTATCTGCTTGTTGAGTGATGGTGACAGCAAAGCTAATAAACTACACAAGTGGCAAAAAGCATTACAACAGACAAGAATTTGTTTCACATTTAATTACCAGTACAGGCACTGCATTCAGCAGTGTTGGTGTGCATGTCAGAAATACCATGGCACATCCATTTTATTTACTTGGTCCCCTTTCCTGCAACACATGAACAACTTCCTGGTTTAAAGATTTTAGTCTTAAAAATCCCCTTTCATATGGTGAGATTCTATGATTCCCATTCACTGAAAGGGACCTGAGATACAGGGGTTAAGTGGTTTTCAAGAGTCTTAACACAGACTGCAATGGAGCAGATTTTTTTTCCCAAAATAATGGAAACTGATTCTAAGGATCATGCCAGCTTTTGCCATATTTGAGAGGAAATTTTTAAATGTTCAGATGGAAGCCTCAATTTTAGTTCTCTAGGCTTGTTATGTCCTGGGTACTTTTTCATTGAGAGGCAAAGGACTCTGGAATACCAAGGGGTAATGTTTTCATTACTTTTATTCCTTTCTACTTTTGGCCCATTTTGGTGTATAGTTTTCAATCTTGCATTATTTTTCAAAGGAAAAAGTACTACCTAATACCATACAGGACCTGAGGAAATGGAACAAAATCTCTCAGAAATACACACTCAAAATTATATATCTGTTGTTCATTTGTTAAGTACATTAACTGATTTTTGGTTCTCTACCTCTAAGATCCATATTTCCATTTTCTGTATTTTCCAGGCATATACACAGGGGTTTTGTCTGGAGAAGGGTGATTTTTGGCTTCTCTACAATTCTGAGTTCCTACATATTTACAATTGTAGTACCTTGCTAAAAATCAAAAAGACTCATGCCTGAACGCTTCTCTATTGAAAACTTGGATGCTTCAAGAGCTTTAATTTTCATACTGAGAATGTTCTTACTTTTTAATTTCACCTCTTGATTTGAAAGTTAACCGAGGAAAGTATTTTCACTCAATACAGATGTTAATACTTAGGAGAACTTTACTCAGTTTGAGACTGTTTCACAGAAAAAGTTCTTGAGATGAGTCTGTACAGTTCACCATATTTATCTTGATTCCCTGTCTCTAAAACCTTTAACTTTTCTTCAAATCTATTCTTCAAACAAAGCCCTCTTTATTCTGCTTAAAAAGGCTGGTCTTCTGGGGAGCTGTAGGATAAAGCAATAAACTTCCCTGATGCTCTTCTTCGTATAGACGGCTGAGCAAATGTATGTACAGACACGTGCTTTTCTGGTGAGCTGTGTTTCTAAAGACTTTAATCCTTTGCATATTAACCTCTATTAGCTTATATTACAGGACTTGTAAGCTCATAGTACACTTGAATGTTTCTAACTGTGAGCTGCCATGACTGATATTCAAAATTGCTAGGTATTGAGAGTTGAATAAAAGTGGGTGATTTTATTTTCTGAAGATGAATTTGAGAAAAAAAGTTTTGTCTGAACATGCTATCCCAAATTGCTGGGGCTGGTTCAGTTCTCATTCTTACTGTAAATTAGGACTAGCTTCATTGAAACTAAAGAAGTTTTATTTGCCTGGGCTTGTATGAAATCAGAACAGATTAACAGATACCTCTTTATAGAATGCGATCTTTAACAGGCAGAACGGAATAAAACACAGTGGGCTCTTATTCATACTCCATATAGACTCTCTGGCTGGCAAAGTGCTTTGTGGCAGCACTGCCTGGTTTTACACATTATTTTGTTTTGTTTAGTTAGGCTTTTCTCTACAAGGGGTTTTATTGTTCAAGAGGGGGCACTCCCACCCTTGCTCATAGTCATCGAGTCATACCATGGAGTAATTACTGCTCTTTCCATGCCAAGATCTCAGACCAAGAAAAGGCAGCCAATCCTGATACAGGAAGACACACACTGGCACAAAAAAACTAACTAGGGAGACAATGAAGAGAGAAAAACACAGAGCGAGACTGTATGGGATTGTGCTCTATCTGCCCGTGACAGCAGCATCAGGGGCAATGTTGTTTTTCCCCAGTAGCTTTCCAATATAGTTACTCCATTCACTGATGAATTGAGAGTATGTGAAACTGTGCCAAAGCTAATCAAATCAAATTCCACCCAGCTGGTTAAATCCAATTGCTTGTGCCTTTCTCCACAATGCAAGGGCATCCATGGTACTCTTGGCTGAACTGCCTCCTCCCTCCCAATGCTCATGGCAGATCTGTGCCGTGTGGGTGATCTTCCCTCATATGGGTAATGTATGGCTTTCTGGCTGCTTGCAAGTGCAGATCTTATCTTGTTCAATCCCTGAAGAAATAATAATAAAAAACCCCAAACAGTTACATATTTATTTTAATATTCCAGCATAGCTGTTCTTGAAGTGTTCTTGAAGTGTTCTTGAAGTGTTTCCCCTAAAACAATGAACGATCTTTCCCCAGTTGAGGGGAAACTGCCTCTTTCTCCAGTGGTTTCAAGCCGGTGAGTAACATCACAATAATAAAAAAGGTAATAATATAACATAATATGCACTTATCTGAGCTATGCATGTTTAGAGAACCATAGTAACACCTGCTCTCTGGTCTATCACCTTCATTCTTGAAGCAACTATTTTCTCCTGTAGAGTAAATGGAAATAGGCAGGGTCCTCTGGTTGCCACGCACTTCAGAGTACGAGCGTGACTTTGTTCTCTGCATTATTGCCTAGAATAGTATCTCATCATTGGCTAGCATGAGATAATATCCCAATTTACACACTAAAGTTAAATACATGAACTAGGTAGCCCAAATTTTTCCCTTGATCTCCAAAAAGAAGTCTTGATTTACTCTTTGCATGTTTCTCTCTGATTCAAGTAAGGCACTTGATTTCTGTGAAACAAGTGTGCCGTCCATTCACCAGAGGACTAACTTCACTGATACCATGAATATTTTTAAGCCAGGTAACACTGGAGCAGTAGCTCCCATCTCTTACCTGCTTCTTGTTACATCTGGATGTGTTTCCTGTGAACAGCAGCTGCAGCTCCCTGCAATGTACCACAGAAACCTCCAAATGTCTCTGATGACGGCACAGTGGTTGGGGTTGGCATAGACAGAGCTTCAGACAACTTGTGTCAAGGCTGAAAGGATGTTTTCTGGCAAGCACTGGATTTGTACCTCCAAGAAAGAAAAGACTGCCTTAATCCTGGAAGAATCAACACCGTCAGCAAAGGGGAAATCTGCCCCAGGAGTAGTCAATTCAAATCCATGGGGGTGGGAATCTAAGAGTTGATCCATGAATGCATTCTCTCAAGGAGCAGCACAGTGAAAGGCTTTGCTATACAGGCTGGGGCAGAATCAACTGGGATGCACTCTGGTCTTTCCTTGAGAAAGAAAGTATTAATGCTACTGAATTTACACTTGTAACAATAAACATAAAATATTAACAATAAGAATTCCTCAGATGTGTTCATGACTGTGGTTTAGTTGATTTGGAATTTAATACTATAGTCAAGAGAAATGTAGCTATTACAATCAACAAAGTTTAGGGTATGGTTCAGCTGACCAGCCAGACCACTGTGTACCTAGCAATGTTCATTTCAAGCTTTTGCTTAAACTCCCAACAATGATTACGTGTGATAAATTTGGCAAGATGGCATTAGAGTGGATGCCCAAACTGTGAGTAGGACTCTTACTAAACATCAGATGGCAGTGTGGGGAAGGTATTGTGTGACAAAATTTCTCAGACTGTATTTGAAAGACCAGCAGAATTAAAAGATCTAGTTGTCACCAATCATTTATCTTAAGATTATTTTTTTAACTGTGCTTCCCAAATTGTTTGGTTTGCAGGAAGAAAGTTTTGGATTGAATAACTGTTACAATTTTTATCTACTCAAAACAGATAAAAGCTTATATTAAGCAAAACACTGACCTACATCTGCTGGTTTGAAATACTCATATTTTTCAACAATGTTCCAGGAAGATTTCAAGCACAAAATTTAATGGGTCACATCATTAATTTTAGCGTATTAAAATCCATTAATTTTTGTATAGTGGAGTATCCTCTATAGAGGGGAGATGCTACAGATTGAAAATATTTTTGTGGAAGAATAAGCCCTTTGTAAACATGGTATGTCAGCACTGACCAAGCTTGAAAATCTTGGCCGTGGTTTAAGGAGCTTTATGTAGTACTCAGCTGACATATGCAGTTGCTCAGGAGGGCAAACTTGTTAAAATACATAATGGTAAACCTCAAGAATAGAATAGTCTCCCATCAAAGAGAGACATACATGATGTCTAAGCATGTCAGTAAGGTACAGTGAACTGTTCTTGCTTTACTGTACCAATATTTATCAAATAATGCAACTACATTTGCATCATACACTTGAGATAGCTGAAATAAAGTAATCAAAACTATGTTTTCCTGGTGTGTATTTCACCTATGTACTCTTCTCAGCTCTTAGATACCAGCAGGAGACCATTACCCTGGAGCAGCATCCCTTTTCTTTGACTTTAAATATGTATTTTAGTGCCTTTGTCATTGTAATGTACTTCAGCAAGCTCTTGGAGTGAAAAGAGGAGGAATAAAGGTAGATGAAAAATTCAGAATGAAAGACTGCAAGTAAGAAAATAGGTAGCTACATAAAATGATAGAATGATGGATAGAATCATAGAATGGTTTGGGTTGGAAGAGATCTTAAAGATCATCCATCTTCTGATCACATAGTGATTACATGGTCACAACTGGTGATCACAAGTTTTAAATAGTATTTAAAACATTTTAAATGTTTAGTTTTAGAATATTAGTTTTAAACATGAACTAAAGTTGAAATCATTCCTTTTTAATAAAGAAAATGTTGTTTAAAGCTCTACTTAGAGAAGCAGACTTTGTAATTAACCTATCTCCATCATGTGGTTGCCTGTTTTGTTTCAAAGCTTATGAAAATCATGGAACAAGTTTAAGCTGCAAGTTTTGTCCAAGAGTTTGCTCCAATAGATTTATAGCTGTTAAAGTTTCTAAATAATTAGGGGTTATGAAATGTTTATGTAAAAATGTAGTGGGATTGATAGAGCAAGGCAAGGCAACACAATGGTTTCTCAGCATTACCCAAGCATGTACTTAAAAGACAATGGCACTGGTGCCCCGAGTCCCCATGTTGTGCTGGGAGACTACAGGTCAAAAAGGCCACAAACGAGTACATGTCCCTGTTTCCTACAAGAAGACAGAATTTAACAGGGCAGGTCAGGGAGCCATGGCAAGCAAAAAAACAGATAATACTTCCACAGAGATTTCTCTAATTCTGTTGAGGTCCTCTTGTGAGATGTGGTAAGCCAGGTGTTTCAATAACATCTTGCTCTTCTATTGTATATATACTAAGATTATTTGACTTGTAAAAAATCGTGTTTGAGATTTTCTGATTGTTGCCTATGCCTATGTGAGGTTTAACCAACCCTGCTACCAGGTTAAGCCCAGGCCTGGTCTGTGCAGACCGAGCTGGGCGCAGGCTCAGGCTCATCTGAAGAGCAAGGTGAGCTCCAAGGGAGGAGCTGAAGTGCCCTCAGCAAATGATGATATGGTGGTGGAAGGCACTAGTTAGCATGATATCCTACAAGACAACACTCCTAAATCAGAGCTCCAGCAAATATCTGCTTTCTTTTGGTCTTGATGCAAACTACTGAAGACACTAATACACAAAATATACTAAACCTATCCTTATTTGAGTTACTCAAACACAAAGGGATGATGTAACTCAAAATCTGCCGCCAAGCCATGCTTGAGGAGGGGGTATCACAAAACTAATTAAACATCCTCAAAATAGTTTCATTTTAAAACTCCACGCTTTTTCTTTCTTTTTGATTCTTTGTATCCCACTACAGTAGATTTGCATCAAATAAACATTCAAAGGTAGTTGAAAATTAAAAATTAATTTTTCTTTGCAATTTGGGATCTGAGAAAAAAAATGTAGGATGAAAACTTGCAAGTCTTTCATGTAATCATCTGACTTGAGCAGATCTTGTGAAAACATCAGATATCATGAGATGCCTGGTAGAATAACAAGTAACGGCTCCCCGGGCACAGGGCTGTAAGTCAAAGCATTTTTTTATAAACACAGAAAAGTGTGTTTCTGTTATCAAATTATCAGTGTAACCATTCAACTACCATGACTCAGACCTCCAGCAGTCATGAGATGTGCTTAGATTACAGAGATTTAAAGAAAAAAACCCAGAACAATAAAGACTAATGAAAACCATGCACAATTCCCATCTTCAGATTACACCGATGCAGCAAAAGTGGATTTTGCCTGGGAAAGCCCTGAACAGAGGGAAGGTACTATGAAGGGAGTACATTACACTCCTCTTGGGCCTGCTCTCTTTGGCACCGTCAGTCTACAGGAGACCTAACGAGTTCTCAAAGAGTTCGCAGCCTCTCAAAAGCTCTGGGACACCAGTGAATGCTTCCCTACAGGATGCGGGCCCCTCCCGGCGGGGCAGGTGCGGTGGCTCTGGCCTAGACCAGGGGCGGCCCCGCGGGGTCCCCGCCGCGGTCAGGGGCACGGGGCTTTCCCGAGGACCCCCCGACCAGGAGGCACCGCTGCGGGGAAGGGAGCGCCTGCACCCCCCGCTCCCTTCAGCGCCAGCGTGCTGAGCTCCGGGACTGTGGGAGAGCGTCCGTGTGCGAGTCGGCGGGGACGCTCGGGGCAGGAGGGCCGGGAGCCGGGGCGGATTTCGCCGGCAGCTGCCGGGGCGGCCCCTCCGCCGCCCCCCGTGAGCGGGCACGGCCGGGGCCGCCGCTCCCGCAGCCGCCCGGCGGGAGGCGGCACCGCCCGCTTGAACCGGAACCGGTTCGCGGGGGCCGCCCGGGGCGGCTGCTCCTGCTCCCGCTCCGTCTCCTGCTCCCGCTGCCGGTGTGGTGCCGGTGCCGCTGGCGCGGGGGCTGCGGCGCTGCCGCGCGGGTGCGAGCGCGGGGCGGGCGCGGCGGCTGCGCGGGGGCGGGGGAGGATGGGGCTGTGCCCCGGCGGGCCCCGCGCCGCCCGCCCGCGCTGCAGGGCGGCTTAGCTGCCGCAGCCCACGCCGGAGGGCCGCGCTGCGGGGCCGCCTCCGCGGATGAGCCGCCGGGGGGACCGGCCGGCGAGTGCAGCCGCAGGGCGCCGCAGCCGCCGCCGCCGCCTCCTCCTCCCCCGCCGCTCCCTCTCGTCGCCGCTGCCGCCCATGGCTTCCCGGCGCCCCCGCTGACCGGCCGCCCCTCGCCTCCTCCCGAGCCGGGCCGGGGCCGGGCAGAGAAGATGGGGAACACCACGTCCTGCTGCGTCTCCTCCAGCCCCAAGCTGCGCCGGAATGCCCACTCCCGGCTGGAGTCCTACCGCCCCGAGGCCGAGCTGAGCCGGGAGGACACGGGCTGCAACCTGCAGCACATCAGCGACCGGGAGAACATCGACGGTGAGCGCGGGCGGGCGCCCCGGGGAGCCCCGCATCCCTTCCCTTCCCCTCCCTGCGGCGGGCTCGGCTCTGCCCCCGCGGCTCCCCCGGGTGGGGCCAGTCCGGCCGGTCCCGCTGCCCGCACAGTGTGTCCCCCCGGGCCGCACGGACGGTGCTGGTCCCCGTGCCCGCCCCCGCGGGGCTCCCGGGGATGCCGCGGTCCATCTGCGCGGGATTCTCCCTCCAGAGCTGCTCCTTTCCCCCGGGAGGGGTGTGCGGGACCCTTCTAGCGAGGGCTGGGGAGCATCCTCCCACCCTTGAGCAGGGTGCAGGGTTTTGGCCCCAGATCTGCCGAGACCCTTCGCCCTTCAGAGTGTCGTGGGGTGGCATTATGGACAGACCCGGCGGGCTCGGACACTCGGGTTCGGCTTGGCCCCCGAGGGAGGCGTCCCTCGCCCTTGGCAGGGCTGGCTGTGCCGAGCTCACGTCACCTGCGGGGATGTCACCTGCCAGGCCTCTGCAGGGGTGAGCCTTTAAAGGACAAACCCAGCCAGCGATAAAAGTGGGAGAAATGTTTCCCATGACAACCTTCTCTTCCAGTGACTTTTTCTTCCCTGTTCCTGCCGTGATGAGACGCAGCGCTCTGGAATCACGAATACCACCTTTCCTTCTCTTTCTCTGCAGTGATATTGAAAAAGCTGTATTTTTGTTGGTTTAGTAGTGACTGAATGTGCTGCCGTTTTGGCTATCCAGAATACAGCTTAATTTTAAAGATATGGGTTGAGTTAATGTATACATGTAATTTAGTTTTTGATTAGCTGAAGTATTTAGTCCTAAAACTTTACTTGGTAAAAGGTCAGCTATCTCATGGATTAGTTCACATGGACTGCTGTTGGTAGAAAGCCAGAAAGACGGACTTCGGTGCACTTCAATTTGCCTTCCACATTTTTCCATAGCTTATCTGATTGTGATTTTAGTACAGAATTTTATGTTAAGTCAGTACTTGAGACTAGTAAAGTTGTGAAGCCCATAGAAGCAGATAGGTACCCTCATTGGTTTCTTTCAGTGAGGTGCATTCTGGAAATATCAGTGTTTTTGAGATGTCTTTGCTACATGCAGCTGAAAAATTAGACTGTAACAGGATCAGTAGGTGGAAAAAAATACATAATGGTTTGGCCTGAGAAAGCCAGGGAGATGAAAGAACCAATTGTTGATCTATGAATGATTAATTCTTCCAACATCAGTGGTGTCCAGCATAGCAGGATGCAGCTTTCTCTGATGGTACGGATTTCTCCAGCTATACCAACACAGACTGCAGTAAAGTTTTTGGTCAGAGATGCATGGGTTTTGTGCCTTGTTCTTAATTTGTTTGGTTTTTTGTTTTTTGCTTTTGTTTTTTTTTTTAATGGATTGAAAGAAAGACATTGGTGGAAATAGTAAGTGCATGTGTGCTTGCTAAAATGTGCATGTAATGCAGATAAGTTCCTGCATCTGAGTTATTTGCAAAAAAAAAAATAAATCATTATTGATTGGTTGTTTAACTTATTGGGTCAACGCACATGTGTGTTCTCTCTCTCTTTTCCTTTATACTGTGGCACATTTCAAGTCTAAAGCTGTAACCTGTTGTTAGAAGACAGAAAATACCTCATGTATTATTTATTTTTAGGTTTTGTTGGTTTTGCTCTGGAACTACTGACAGTGCAGTGACACATTTTCAGATGGTCAAAGTGTCTTTAAATCTGAAAAAGAGCAAACACTTTTGGGTTTCCTTTTTGTTCCTTACTCTAGTCTCGCCCCTTTTTATGGATAAAGTCTGAGAAGTAAGTTTCTACTGGGGAGACTAATAGATAATAAATGTCTGTTCACACGAAACAACTGGACGGACTTTGGGTAAAACTACTTTTTGAAGTGTGGTTAGTTGCAGGTCTTTTACCCTGGAGTGATACCCACTGATGGTCTTTTGGTTAGATGGTAGACTGGTTAATAAATGTCATAAGATGATTCTGTGTTTCTGAAATTTTATTTCTTATTAGACTATCTATTACGTTTTTATTGTTAGATTGTTTGAAGTTGTATGGCATACAGATGTCTACAGATGAGACTCTAGGATGGGAAAAACCCTTTACAGTAGAGAACTAATGATTTTCTTACCATTTTATGACGAAAAAATGGTAGTGTGGTTATCTGTGTCATGAAGAGAGAATACTGGGTGTTGATTCCTTAACGTTCCTGCAAGTCATGAAGTTTCTCAAATTGGCAGTGTTGCCAAATGTACTTTTTTTTTTTAATTAAATAAGTGATGACAAAGACTGGTGCAGTGAAAGGAAACATTTTTGACACTTCGAATTTATATTTCTCACTGTTGTTTGAGTGAGAGCCCTTCCATCCTACTCAAGTGTATGTGGCAGTGACAGGTCTTAAAGTGAAAATTCGTGTCTCTAACAAGTGTTTACCTTTTCAGTGGTACTTTTGGGAACTGTAAAAATCGTGCCATGCAGTGTCTGAGTTAATATGTTTTATGTGGAAGTTGTTTTCACGCTCATATGGATGGAAATTCAGGAAACATTTTATTTATTTTGAGTGGATAAAGCTGCTTGAATAAATCAAGAACTTTTAGAGCCTTTAAATAAGCTGTGGGCTGTTTTAAGCTTTAAAGAGATGCGTGGTTTGCACTGTTGCAGGCCCTGTTTTTGGCAGTATAAGAAGGAGAAAGAAAAAGAGGGAGGGATGTCAAACCTTTAAGAGTGATTTAACTGGAAGTTTTAGTACTAGTGGAACTGTTTGACGTTTGCCTGTCTTCTATACTTCCTAAGGAAATACTCATCAAATCTGCCTTCAAAATCTTGCCTTTGAATTGTCTCCTCTAATTCAGCTCCATACCCAATCCATTAGCATTTTTTCAAAGAATGGCTGGAGCAATTCTATTTCAGTAAGAACTGGTTTTATGGCAAAATGTTACCTCTACATCACTGGTACCTTGTCAGAGCGATCTCAATTTCTGTAATATTTCACACCTGTTTCTGAAATGGTATCTGAAAGAGAAGGGAATTTTGACAGAGATTTGATTAGGAGGAATTTATCAAGTGACTTGTTTTAAAGAATACTCGTGTTGAATTGACCTTTTTTCCTTTTTTTTTCCCCCAAAAAATTTTTAAGAAGATGCAAATTTGCTTCTCTGAATAGTGGACAGTCACCAGAATGCTTTTTTTTTCTTTCTTTGTTGTTGTTGTTGTTGTTGTTGTTGTTGTTGTTGTTGTTGTTGTTGTTTATTTGTACAGGCTCATGATAATCAAGAACACCTAACAGTTTTTTATGTCTTTTGCTTTTGAGGAAGAGCAAGAGGGTAATTGTAACATACAGAGCTTACCATCTGTTTTTGATGATTTATTGCTAAGGATGAGCTTCCATATTTTTCAGTGCTTCACATGTAAAAGTTGAGGAGAATTGTAGCAGTGGATTCAATACTTGCAGATTCCTACATCTGTCCGTTTGCCATCAAGACTTTTTTTATGGCAGTGTTAATGGCACCAATAAGTAAAAATGGCTGAAAACTTTGTGTCAGATTCTTTATCTCATTTGGATGCAAATTTCTGTCTGTGCAAGCTGTGTGAGCATCTTGGTGTATGCATTGTGTAAATCCTTGCTAGCTGGGCCTAGGCTCTGCTTAACTCTTTACATCAGCAAGTCACAGACCCAGTGGTGGTTTAACTTTTGAAAAAGCAGCATGTGCTCAGATGTGATTTCTCTGTTTGAAGCTTGATTTCTATAGTCAGCTTTTCAAGTATGGAGCTGTAGTGAGGGGGCAAAACATTGATGGCATGAAGCAAAGCTGATACTGTACAATGAAATTGGCCAAAGGGCTGTTCTTGAAATAGAGGCTGGATGGAGAGTTCCTAGGCTATTTCAAGAAAAGACAGTTGTTAATGATGAGCCCCTCCCCTGCCTCCCCCTCCCCCCACCAAAAATCTGATTTTTTTTGTTTGTTTGTTTATCTCCCTCTTTGTAAACTTCTGCTGATGTCACTGGGTCATGCATTGGTAGCTCAGATAATGACCTGTGCGACTGTGCATCACTGATAAACGTCTTCAGCCCTTTTCACCTTGGGTCAATCATGTTAATTTTTTTGCTGCATAATGAACAGACTCCTAAGAATGGATTGCTTTTTAAGAAGCCACTTATTTGTTCATTTACATATTTTTTCTCCATCTTCTTGAAACTGGCACATGGGAATCTCTGATGTGAGATTAGTTAGTATTTGCATATCTCTGTCTACTGGGTTTTATAAGAATTATGAGATTTTAGCAAAATACAAGAAAGTTTTAAATCTGCCCCATATACCTAATGGAATTTTGCTGAAAGGGACTAGTGGTGTTTTCAACAGTAGGGCCTGATGGGTTGCATGTTGTGAAGGAACTGACCTACATTCTCAAAAGTCAAGACATAAGCGCTTCAGAATCAAGTTAAATATCCGCTGTGTTACACACAGGCATTTCTGCTAAAACCTGGATCGTAAAAGGACAGACCTTCTTAAAAAAAAAAAAAAGTCTTATTTGGTTTGCAGAAAAGTCAAAAATTGTTTTGTTCCCTTAGCCAGAATTCCAGCGCAGAGGTGATCTATGTGCTTTTCAGTGCTACTGTTTGCATTACCTACCTAAGCATTTGTCAGAGGTCATGTATCAAGGTACCACCACTGCATTCTGGTGCATTGAAAAATTAAAAATAGAGCCTGCTGTGGCCTACATGACTGAACTTAGTCCTGTACTGCACACTGCTAATGATGCATACTGCACAGCTTTCTTTTTTAGTCTGCTATCAGCCTCACCTGGTTATTCTGTGTGTGCCCTGCTTCTCCTAAGAGGCACTACCGTGTTATACAAAGCCTTCCTAAAACCTCCTAAAACTTCCCTTTCACATTAAATTTATGCTGTGCATTAAGTCAGTATTTTCGTATTTAGCTGTAGAAGCTTTCAGATGCACACAAGCTAAGACTAGTCATATTTGAAATTACCTCTAAAAATTTTATTAATGCACTGCCATCTGATTTTCTTTGAAAGTGAACAAGATCAACAATGGTAAATTGGTACTTGAAACAGAATGACAAGACTTAAAATTATAGGTCTCAGAAAATGGAAAGACTACTGTATTTTGAATTGTTTTGGTTTGTTTCCCCCCCACACCCCCTTTGGATTCTACATGTAATAAGAATAATGTAATTGAAAGGAATGAAAACCTTTCCACTGTGTGGTCGTAGCTGGTTTACCTAATTTTATGTATTCATCAGACTTCCAGGGGATGTTTACTGCGTCTCCAGGCCTTGCTCAGGTCAGATGACACAAAAAGCAGTGCTGAAGTTTGGCTCTCACATGATAGGACACTATTCCTGAAACATGTGAGATGCTGTTTGCTGGCACATACAGCAGCTTACTGACACTGTGAATGCCTTTTTCTAGCTGCTCTCTTTTATGTAGCATGAGGCTGAAAGGGGAATAAGTGAGCAGTGCCTGGCACTACCTGATAGCTGTCCTTGCCCTGCCAGCCAGCTGCACATCAGACGTAGTCTAAATATCGTCCTTGTTTAACGTGTTTGCAAGAATATGAAATACACTGTACAAACTGAAAACACAAAGAATGTGTAGCCTTTCTCTAAGCTTTCTGTGTAGAAGTGAATCAACATTACTTTTGCTTCTTTTCCATTCCTTTGAATTTGGATAAATAGAAGTTTTAAAATGTATTGATTTTCTATTTGCATTCTGACATATGGAGTGATCTTTTTTACTTCATCCTGCAGAGTATTTAATATATGTACCATACAACTCTGAAATGTATGTGAACAGCTAGTAAATGTTAATAAACTTTTTAAGCCTAGCAATTTGTTATTTAGATAGAATACTCCCAGCACTATGCCTTTACTGGAGTAGTTACCACTTCCTCCGTATCTTCTGTAACAGTTTTGTCTCCTTACAAATCAGCTTTAAAAGCAAATATTCCAGAATTACTGAAATGGACTGTTGGGATTTTCATGTTTCCTGAGCTGAAACTTTTTGCAGAAGTTGACCAAAATTCAGAGATGGTTTAACTGAGCTCATCTAAACTACTTTTGTTGCTGATTTTGTAGGCCCCACATGTCACCATAACCCATCCCCTCAGCCAGCATTGCTGGAGCATCACCAGCTCTTGAGGTGCTTCTGGGAGAACTGGCTTAAATTTGGAGCACCCGTTAGTCTGGACTGGGTGGAGAAAGAGCTTAGTCTTCAGGACAGTGCTCCTGCTTCTAATCCTTAGCTGGTATAGAAGCTGGTTGAGGAGCTGTGG